CGATACACTCATGTAACGATACACTCATGTCACGATACACTCATGTGATACACTCATGTCACGATACACTCATGTCACGATACACTCATGTGATACACTCATGTCACGATACACTCATGTCACGATACACTCATGTGATACACTCATGTCACGATACACTCATGTCACGATACACTCATGTCACGATACACTCATGTGATACACTCATGTCACGATACACTCATGTCACGATACACTCATGTCACGATACACTCATGTGATACACTCATGTCACGATACACTCATGTCACGATACACTCATGTAACGATACACTCATGTCACGATACACTCATGTCACGATACACTCATGTAACGATACACTCATGTCACGATACACTCATGTCACGATACACTCATGTAACGATACACTCATGTCACGATACACTCATGTCACGATACACTCATGTAACGATACACTCATGTCACGATACACTCATGTCACGATACACTCATGTCACGATACACTCATGTCACGATACACTCATGTCACGATACACTCATGTCACGATACACTCATGTAACGATACACTCATGTAACGATACACTCATGTAACGATACACTCATGTCACGATACACTCATGTAACGATACACTCATGTCACGATACACTCATGTCACGATACACTCATGTCACGATACACTCATGTCACGATACACTCATGTCACGATACACTCATGTCACGATACACTCATGTCACGATACACTCATGTAACGATACACTCATGTCACGAAACACTCATGTAACGATACACTCATGTCACGATACACTCATGTCACGATACACTCATGTAACGATACACTCATGTCACGATACACTCATGTCACGATACACTCATGTGATACACTCATGTCACGATACACTCATGTCACGATACACTCATGTCACGATACACTCATGTCACGATACACTCATGTCACGATACACTCATGTCACGATACACTCATGTCACGATACACTCATGTCACGATGCACTCATGTAACGATACACTCATGTCACGATACACTCATGTAACGATACACTCATGTCACGATACACTCATGTCACGATACACTCATGTCACGATGCACTCATGTAACGATACACTCATGTCACGATACACTCATGTCACGATACACTCATGTCACGATACACACTCATGTCACGATACACACTCATGTCACGATACACTCATGTCACGATACACTCATGTCACGATACACTCATGTCACGATACACTCATGTCACGATACACTCATGTCACGATACACTCATGTCACGATACACTCATGTAACGATACACTCATGTCACGATACAGATACACTCATGTCACGATACACTCATGTAACGATACACTCATGTCACGATACACTCATGTCACGATACACTCATGTGATACACTCATGTAACGATACACTCATGTCACGATACACTCATGTCACGATACACTCATGTAACGATACACTCATGTCACGATACACTCATGTCACGATACACTCATGTCACGATACACTCATGTAACGATACACTCATGTCACGATACACTCATGTCACGATACACTCATGTCACGATACACTCATGTCACGATACACTCATGTAACGATACACTCATGTCACGATACACTCATGTCACGATACACTCATGTCACGATACACTCATGTCACGATACACTCATGTCACGATACACTCATGTCACGATACACTCATGTCACGATACACTCATGTCACGATACACTCATGTCACGATACACTCATGTCACGATACACTCATGTAACGATACACTCATGTCACGATACACTCATGTCACGATACACTCATGTAACGATACACTCATGTCACGATACACTCATGTCACGATACACTCATGTGATACACTCATGTAACGATATACTCATGTCACGATACACTCATGTCACGATACACTCATGTCACGATACACTCATGTAACGATACACTCATGTCACGATACACTCATGTCACGATACACTCATGTCACGATACACTCATGTAACGATACACTCATGTCACGATACACTCATGTCACGATACACTCATGTCACGATACACTCATGTCACGATACACTCATGTCACGATACACTCATGTCACGATACACTCATGTAACGATACACTCATGTCACGATACACTCATGTCACGATACACTCATGTCACGATACACTCATGTGATACACTCATGTCACGATACACTCATGTCACGATACACTCATGTGATACACTCATGTCACGATACACTCATGTCACGATACACTCATGTCACGATACACTCATGTCACGATACACTCATGTAACGATACACTCATGTCACGATACACTCATGTCACGATACACTCATGTCACGATACACTCATGTAACGATACACTCATGTAACGATACACTCATGTCACGATACACTCATGTCACGATACACTCATGTCACGATACACTCATGTCACGATACACTCATGTCACGATACACTCATGTAACGATACACTCATGTCACGATACACTCATGTCACGATACACTCATGTAACGATACACTCATGTCACGATACACTCATGTAACGATACACTCATGTCACGATACACTCATGTCACGATACACTCATGTCACGATACACTCATGTCACGATACACTCATGTCACGATACACTCATGTCACGATACACTCATGTCACGATACACTCATGTCACGATACACTCATGTCACGATACACTCATGTAACGATACACTCATGTCACGATACACTCATGTAACGATACACTCATGTAACGATACACTCATGTAACGATACACTCATGTCACGATACACTCATGTGATACACTCATGTGATACACTCATGTCACGATACACTCATGTCACGATACACTCATGTCACGATACACTCATGTCACGATACACTCATGTCACGATACACTCATGTCACGATACACTCATGTCACGATACACTCATGTCACGATACACTCATGTCACGATACACTCATGTCACGATACACTCATGTAACGATACACTCATGTCACGATACACTCATGTCACGATACACTCATGTAACGATACACTCATGTCACGATACACTCATGTCACGATACACTCATGTCACGATACACTCATGTAACGATACACTCATGTCACGATACACTCATGTCACGATACACTCATGTCACGATACACTCATGTAACGATACACTCATGTGATACACTCATGTCACGATACACTCATGTCACGATACACTCATGTCACGATACACTCATGTAACGATACACTCATGTCACGATACACTCATGTCACGATACACTCATGTCACGATACACTCATGTCACGATACACTCATGTCACGATACACTCATGTAACGATACACTCATGTCACGATACACTCATGTAACGATACACTCATGTGATACACTCATGTCACGATACACTCATGTAACGATACACTCATGTCACGATACACTCATGTCACGATACACTCATGTCACGATACACTCATGTCACGATTCACTCATGTCACGATACACTCGTGTAACGATACACTCGTGTCACGATACACTCATGTAACAATACACTCATGTCACGATACACTCATGTCACGATACACTCATGTCACGATACACTCATGTCACGATACACTCATGTCACGATACACTCATGTAACGATACACTCGTGTCACGATACACTCATGTCACGATACACTCATGTGATACACTCATGTCACGATACACTCGTGTCACGATACACTCATGTCACGATACACTCATGTCACGATACACTCATGTCACGATACACTCATGTAACGATACACTCATGTCACGATACACTCATGTCACGATACACTCATGTCACGATACACTCATGTCACGATACACTCATGTCACGATACACTCATGTCACGATGCACTCATGTCACGATACACTCATGTCACGATACACTCATGTCACGATACACTCATGTCACGATGCACTCATGTCACGATGCACTCATGTCACGATACACTCATGTCACGATACACTCATGTAACGATGCACTCATGTCACGATACACTCATGTCACGATACACTCATGTCACGATACACTCATGTCACGATACACACTCATGTCACGATACACTCATGTCACGATGCACTCATGTCACGATACACTCATGTCACGATACACTCATGTAACGATACACTCATGTCACGATACGATACATTGCGATACTTTAAAAAGTTAACAAAAAATGTGCTGCTGATTTAAATTTTAGGTTTTGGTATTACATCAGGAATGGACTTGAATAGGCTTGGACTTGGTCATGGACCCCAATCACATGATATTCATGTTTCTGAAGTTTAAAATATATAATTATGTTAGACACACATGCTTGACTCTGTCCCTGACTACATATAAATAACGTAGGCCCGTTTTACTGGTAATATCAGTCCCTAAAACCACGATCTCTCCCTCTATTAATGCACTTATAGAAGAAGAAACCCTGAATCTTCATACTACTAAAACTACAAACGTGATATGGGGATTTGAATTATGTCTGTGCTTTGACTTTGAGTGCCGCTCTTCAGATGATCAATGCAGTCAATCACAGTTCTAATCGCAAAACGTGTCAAACTCAAAAAAATATAGATTTATTTATTTATTTATTTGGGACGGTGCACATTAATGTACACTCCTGTAAACACTATAAATGAGCCAGATTATAGCATAAATGCTCATTTTCATCTGTAGTCCCGAAAATGACTGTTCCCAAACTTAAAAGAGTTAGTTCATCCAAAAATGAAAAGTCTGTCTGCATTCACTCACTCCCATGTCGTTCTTGCGCACACACATACACCTGAACATCCGTGTTAACGACAGTATGTGCCTTGATCAGTAAATCTGTTCATCATTATAGTTCACATCACTGAAAGATTAATTTTAATATTAGTTTTTTTTCCTTGTTATTTTGACTGTTTTAAGCAATATTGTGCTTTTTTTCCAGGCTCTTTGGACTTCCCAGCTGTAAACATTTCTGTCCACAAAGATGTGATTAAAGTGTCTTTTTGGCACCCTTACTTATTTTATGAGCAGGATACTCTGAACGAGGAATTCAAGTACACAGTCACACATGATCAGGTCAGAAATGCAGTAAAAAAAACATTGAAAGAGGTGTAATCGCAAAAACTCCTCCATGTTACAGTCTTCTTTTCTGAAATCACTCTATTCTCCGTCTTCAGGAAACGTTTTCAGACTACTGTTTGGGGGAAGATGAACAGTGCATTGCAGATATCCACTTTAACCAAAGCGTGGCCGGACAGTGTGTGGAGCTGAGGTTTGAAGGGAAGATCTCTGCTATTCCTACACACACCTCCAGACACGTCTGTGTCCCTCGGCTGACGCCCCACACCGGTAAAATGCTACAGATATTGAGATTTCTTGTTTGCACAAGATAAAGCCACACATGAGCTGTGTTTGAAATCACCTTATCTCCTCACTGACTCTTCCATATCACATAAGTCACTGCATGAGAAAGATTTAGTTTCAAAATGAATATTTTGCACGATAACGATAGTTCTTTATATTTGAAAGCCGATAACCGATATATTGGCCGATAAATCTATATACAATTTTTTTTTTTTTTAAAGAGCCTGAATACAAAAACATAAGTCTCACCATCCCAAGCACACAATTATAATTTCCTCATTATAATTTTATGTAGCCGAGATTTGCGCTGCACATGTTGCACTTACTTTTCTGTATTTTCCTCTTTGAAGTGATTCCAATCATATTTCAAGCGACTCAAAACCATCATGTTGAACAGTTCGCATCTGAAGCCTCTCAGCTGAAGGAAATAATCCATCATTTATCAGCTTTAATATATCAGCCAAATTTTCGTAATGCACCGATAACGGTAACATTACAAATGAACATATATCTGCCGATACCGATATGGTGGCCGATATATCGTGCATCTTTAGAGTATGGACACTGATGTCAAATTCATGCACCAGAGACGACTGTGAAACACTTAAACCACAAACGGTTTGTGGAATGCATGAGGTGCATTCTGGGATTGAATGAGTGCACTGGATAATCTCCACTATGGTTTCAGTCACCACTCTAATATTGCACTAGGGTTTTTTTGTTGTAACATATTTTAAAGGTGAAGAATTTCATTTCTGTGCCACTAACGATCTGTTTGAATTGTAATATTTGTCAAATATAATTTTTTATTATTATCATTATAAGGCACTGGGGTTGCGGTGCCACCGGCTTGGGCCCGTCATCGCTGCTTGCAGCTATATTTATTATTAAATTTAGTATCTAGTATGCTGCCTCCTAATATACATTGGGCTAATTTTAGCACCTTGTGTATTATTAGAGGAAAATCCCATAATGCATTGCAACAAGCTCAGTGGAATAAATCCAAGGTGTTGGCCTAAGCAAGATAAATGTCGCGAAATAGATTTGGAATTCATTCAATACCGAAAAAGCAGTATTTAAGCCGTTATCTGTCCGATCAATGGCAGGTTGGAGGAGCGCTTCAACTTATTTGAGAACTTCTGTTGTTTTTTCCAGTTTTGTCTGATGCTGATAGTGGAACTTCACCTTTAGCTTATGAGAATATCAGTATTGTGTGAGTACTAGACTAGATTGCTTCATTGAAATGTTCTTTTCTGTAGACCACACAGGATTAATATTGGCTTTGCTGGGAGGAGGGTTCGTGTTGCTCTGCATTATCGCAGGCGTTGTGTGGGTCATCTCCAAGAAGTGGTCCAAAATCCCCAAACTTCCTGAAGCTTTGGTTGGTGTCTTTGAGTCTTTTCACTTTCTATTTCTGTTTTTTACATCTGACAATATGGTATATGCATATTTCACCTAAAATGGTGTATTTAACCCTCATGTTGGTCCGAACCTGTGCCTTTTGGTCCTATGTGGGACACTTTTGTTGTTGTTGTTGAAGGATATCATTTTAGTAAGCCACATACATACACACTGTAAAGTTTCAGGAGTGTCAACCGCATTTAAATACGCCGATGAATCCCCTAAATTATAATTTCGTGTCTGTACGGAACGTGGCTTGTCCCGAAATTGCAATGATTGACTTTGTGTTAAGCGAAACAACATTCTGGCATCACGCTTGTTTGCTATCCACTATTTTTTAAATAACATTGCAGAGACCTAAGCCTTGTTATTTTCTGGGACTTTAACCCTTTAACTGCCCCCCCCCCCCCCACACCCCCCTTTTTTTTTTCTGCATAGACATGAAAATCACTATCCAAAATAAAATGGTTGTAATTCAAGAATGCTTTGGAATATAGACCTATTGATAGATCTTGTTTTAAAGAAGACATTTCCCAGATTCTTCTAGAAGTGAAATAAATTATGAAAGTGAAACAGAAAAAAAGTTATATAAGTTTGAGTTTATGAAAATGTACAATGTAAAAATATAATTATTTATATTTTATATAAATATATATATATAATACAAAATATATTTTACTCTAAAACTGCAAGAAAATGAAAGCCAAAAATCTGAACAAGTTGTGTTTTTAGCTTTTATTAGCTTTCAGTAAGATTTTATTTGGGCGCAGTACCAAACTTTTTCACTAGTTGGACAGCCAAGCTTCCTTACTGACCATATAAGGGCCTCCATTTTCATATGTGTTTTGAGTGATCTGAAGCATGTATTCCCCAATTTATGAAGTAGACATCCTATTCAGAAGAAGTATGGGTGGTTTGGCAGTATTTGATTTGAATTCAACCTCTAATAAGCGCATAAAAAGAGCACACATGTGCGTCATAGCTCGCAGCCGCATCACAAATCGAGAATCCATACATTTTTCTTTATATTTAAAACATTTTCAGACCTTTTTTTCTCATAAAATTGAATTAGTGTTATCTTTTGAACGTTTGGCATGAAAACAAACTGAGGTTTCTACTAATCTTTCATGATTTTTCATGTTTATTGCTATTTCAAAATAAAGGCCTAAACACGCCTAATGAATATGAAATATTCTTGTTGGAAATTGATAAATTACTGCTCCTCTGTAATTTATTTTAAAAAACAGCCACCGAACTATGAAAACTAGAGATTGTAAGCTTTCAAATGAAATATAGTTTGTCAATATTACTTTAGGTTTTTACTAAGATATTATTGTTTTAAAAATATCATGGCGGTGACAGTCAAGGAAGTGTGACTTTAACTTTGTTTGCAAGGCTTCTTCACGGAGCGCGCTCTTGCAGTGTTGCCACGTCCACTTATTATAAGCATTTTTTTAGATTGGCTAATGTGAACAAGTTTATGGAGCTATTAAAAGTAGGTTGTGATATTTTGGTCTCATCTCAGTATAAAGCATTTGGATTTTTCTGGTTTATCATGTGCTTCGACACGAATGAGTCGAGGCTCGTACCTCTTTGCCTGTGATTTTTTTAGCACAGCACTTACAGAAGAGAGAAACATCTCTGATGCACATTTAAATACGTCATTACATTAACAACTAGTTGTTCACATCATAATATCATAAAGAGAAAGACATCTCAAGTCGCTTTTACACAAGCTGAGGTAAATGCTAATATATATAGAAGGTGCACAGTGTCACAAAACGCCCTCATGGTAACACACATGACTCTAAAATAATGCAATAAACATTCATTTAACAGCATAAAAAAACCCTAATATGCATAACTGATACCAAAAAACTAAATAAACAATTATCAAAATGAAAAACCATCCGATGTGAAGTGTCACACTAAGAACTCTGGGAATGTCAGTTTATTTATTTTACTTACAAAAAAATGATTTTACTGTAACATTACATGAAATGTAAGGTAGTTTCCCCATATAGTAAGGGAATATACTGTTAACCATTTAACAGATTACTGTAGTTTTGTTTTGTTTTGTTTTTACAGTGCATGTGCGGAACGATATGAAGATCAGTTAATTATGAGTTTAAAAGTTTCCTTTAGGGCTTTTACGCCGCAGTGTTTTGCATTTGTGACGTGTCTAGTGACTTGCTGCTGACTCGGGGATCTCAGTGGCACTACTATCACATTAACCGTTTGCTCTTTCCCATACGCAGCGGAGCTTTATTTCCAGCCAAACTCCTACAGTGCTCCTTCCCCAACCCGAGTGCTCCACCATTTCTCCAACGGCATCTGATGGACACAAACCACTCCTGAATGAAGTCAGCTATGGCTCTTGCCCCATTTCTGTAGATGAGAAAGACTGCGAAACAACCACTGACCTTGCTAACACAGAAGAAGGGGATGACCCTGAGGTTCCTGAAGAGGATGATGAAGACTTTACAGGCTTCGGCCTGTCGTCTGACTATAACAGTCCCAAATGCCTGTATGAAATGAGTCCTGAGGACTTCGCTGAGGGTTACGGCTCACGGCCGCCGATTCTTTAGGCCTGAACGTGTGTAAGAATAACACAGAGAGGTGATCTGCTCACACCAAGTCATTTGATGAAATCATTATATGGTCCATTAGCAATTTCACACACAGCCATCCAGCCGGATCAGGTTGTGTTTACTGTAAGGAGAAGCAGTGATAAAACTACATCACTCCTGTTAAAACCATCCAAGCTGTGTGTAATGCAGCCGGTGTCGATCTTCTAGTTATGGTCAGCGATGTAGTTTTGTTGTGATGCTCATAGTTTCGATGTGGTGTAACGGGTGCATTGACAGTGGGAACTTTTACATGCACACACAACTCCCCAAAATGTGCTTATTGAAAAAACCCGTGGTTGCATGCAAACCAATAACCAACGCATGTATTCCACATTCACAGGGTTATCCCCAGTAGTGATTTGTGTGTCCTGTCAGAACAAATACCAGATTGCAAATATGACGCTTCATAATTCAACGAAAAGTTGTATTCCCACTCGACAACATCAAAACGCATCTTACACACTCCTGTCTGTCAAATGATCTGACAAGGCCTCTCTATTCTAGTGTGTGTGTTCTTGAGCCTCTTATTGTCATGAAACGCATGTATAGATCATAGCATATATTTACATCCAGGGCACTTGAAGTTCCAGTCCTGTTGGTTTCGCGGTGCAGAACTCATTTGCAAGGCTATAACTTTGCCAAGCTGAATATCTCGCTCGTCTGTGTCGCTATAGGCACATTTCTATGCTGAGGCTTAATCTGTTACGTATGTAAAGTTGTTACTACCATAACACCATATTCATGTGTTTAATAATTACAATAACAGGCTCCGTTTAATATCTGCCAAAAGCTTCTCTGTAATTGTACATTTCTCTGGCGGAAAAGACATTGTGTTGGTTGTATAAATGAAACCTAAAGCATTAATCTGGCAAACATTTCACAATGTGTCATGTCACTTTTTGGTATTTAGAAAAAGTGGCGAAATGTAATTAAGGGGAAAATACATGTGGTATGTTTTTTTTTTTTTTTTTACTCTATGTACTTTTCATGATATCCCTTCTAATATTCCCCAACATTTCTTGTAATTTTAAAGCTTTATGCTCTTTGAAAATCAAGGCAAAGTTTGCACTCATTTTAGATTTATCAAGAATCTCTACTCTGTGTCCAGACAAGATGGCAATAAAAAAGCCTCGCTTTTTCAAGAAGTTAGCGCCAAAAATTACAATCCCATTCCTTACTAACCATTCAACATATTATCATTTACATTTATGCATTTGGCAAAACCTTGTACCTGATGTCACATACAATGAATTCAAGGAATACAGTTGATCAAATGGATTTCCAGATTGCAGTTGTGGCCTTGCTGTTGCTAGTGCCATACTTGTCGAGTTTGACGATTTTGTGTGTATGTGTGTGTGTCAATTTTATGCATATGTAAATTTGAACTGATGTCTGTATATATTATCTGTTACTGTAATTACAGTAATAAACCAAGTGACTGTTTTCTTCTTTGCTTTAGCTGTTGATTGAAACTCTTGAGCACGACGCATACTGTACATTTTGGAGGAAAACTGGGCATTTTGCTCATAATATATGCATTTAATATAAACTATATAATATACTGAAAATAAATTGACCCAAGATAGATGTTTGATCCAAGATGGCTAATTTAATATAGAGAAAGTGTTGAAATATTTGATCTATTCCATAGAAAACAATTGTGGAACAAGTTTGAATATTATAAAAGCCAGATGTGTTTGAAGGCCTTATGGCTGTGACTACAAAGGTCAAGATGAGAAGTTTGTATTCCTTTTTGTTTGATGGAGGGAGGGATATGGGATAAAACCACAAAAGGACATTTGTTTTGAAGAATTGTTCATTCTGAAAACACAAAATGGAGACTTATATTGTATTATGTTGCAAATATTGTTTGAACGCTGTGTCCATTAAAATATGAGGAAAAAAAAGATGAGAAGTTTGTGCACTCACTGAGCAGTTTTTGCATAGGCAGCGGTTTTAAGTAAATGACGAGTGACAGTGAGAGAATAAGACCATTGTTAAGAGGTGTCACGTGGACGTTTCTTGCCTCAGAAGAGTTGATTGTCCTTGGAGAATGTTACATGTTGCCTGTGAGAGGCTTGACCATCTATTAGCAGAATGCCACAATTAGAGAGAAAAGCAAAAGATGTAGAACTTAATGCTGGGAAAACAGTTCGGGTGAATCCTAGCAGACGTTGTCACTTGGGTATTGCAAAATAACACGAGAAAAAGGTACACTGAAAAAAATGATACTTTGGACCAACCTAAAAAATTACTGTAATTTGTTACAACTAAATTTATTAGTCTTTCTCAAGCTATATTTTTGATTTGGTTTAAACTTTAATTTTTAATTTAATAGCAATCAAAATAGTTATTCTGCTCAACAAAAAGTTAAATGACTCTGAAGCAGTGTTAAAGTTAATGAGATAATTAAGTGATTCATTGACTGATGATTGAGCATTATTGAAGACACCTGATGTTAACAAGCAGAATCACTGAAGGAGAAAAAAAATATTTTTAAGTCGCCGTTATGATGATCAGTGTGTGTTTTAGTTGGACTCTTGACCCTTAAATCATTAACTTTTAATGTTGTCTGGCTACTGACAGCCAGATGAACAACTAGAAAAGGTGATCTGATGGTGTTGGTTGAGTTTTAACATAATCATTATTTCACAATCATTTGACCTGAATCAACTCATATTGAGTCCCATTTAGGTTTACTTTATTAATTATACCAGCACTGGCCTTGTTCAGCATAATATTTTTAGCTTTTTCAATGAAATCCAAATTATCAATTCAATAAAAAGAAAACTTCAAAACCACTTATGTTGGCACACACAGACATCAATAATTAGCGTATGAATCTCAGCAATGGTGACAAACAGATCACCTCTGAGCACAAGCTCATTATTTATTCATGCAGCAATGCATGCTGGGAGCCATGAATGAGTTTTGATTGGTGGCACCCAGAATGCACTGCAACATGCTTATTATTGTCACCATTGATGAGATTCACAGGCTGATTCTTGATGTCTGTGTGTCTAAAAACGAAATAGAATCAATAAATTATTTATTGTACATGAGACATGTTTAAAAAAATCTTTGGATTTCATTGTAAAAGGTAAAAATATTATGCTGTACAAGGGCAGTGCTGCTATAATTAATAAAGTAAACCTAAATTGGACTCAATATGAGTTCAGTGATTCAGGTCAAATCATTGTGAAATAATGATTGTTAAAACACAACAAACACCATCAGATCACCTTTTCTAGTTGTTCATCCGGCTGTTATAACTCACGTACAACAGCCAAACATAATCTAAAGTTAATGATTTAAGAGTCAAGAGTCCAACTAAAACACAGACTGATCTCCATAACGGTGACTTAAAAATATTTTTTTCTCCTTCAGAGATTCTGCTTGTTAACATCAGGTGTCTTCAATAATGCTCAATCATCACTCAATTAATCACTTAATTATCTCATTAATTATCTCATTAACTTTAACACCCCTTCAGTGTTACTTTAACTTTTTGTTGAGCAGAATAACTTGATTGATATTAAATTAAAATTTAAAGTTTAAACCAAATCAAAAATATAGATTGAGAAAAACTAATACATTTAGCTGTAACAAATTACAGTAATTTTTTTAAGTTGGTCCAAAGTATAATTTTTTTGTGTTTGTTATTTGCTTTAAGGAAAACTGAACAAAACAGGTTTAAATCAGAAACTGTGATTTTCACTTTAGGCCAATATAAAAATGCACTTTAAATGAACGACACAGTAGTTTCACTTTTTTCAGTGATATAATAATTGCATCATGGCCGAATGAAGATTCAGATGTTCTGCATGCATCTCGGCTTTGTTGCTCTGTTCAATAAAGTCTTATTTTGACTTCTGGAAATATTGAGCTTCATTTGCATGAGAGATGATTTTTCTCCACAACAAAAGTCAACAGGCCGATGATCCGATCACATCCTGAGCAAATGGGCAAACATTGTAGAATGGGGGCAAGTGAGGGACCTCGAGAAACGTCTCGGGCAACGGGGCGTCTCAACATCATTAGCATGCAGACCACAGCTGTTAAAGCAGGAGCGACTGCATTTACATACGGATTAAACTAAACTATTTCATCTTCAATGTCCTCTTCATTTTATCTTACAACACCCTATAGCCTATATCAAATAAAACAGTCAAATATCAGACAACTGCGGTATATGATTTTAGACAAAGGAGTAAATTAGCCTATTGTTCCTCAATGCTCTGTACTGAAATTGAGTCGTTTGTGAGACTATACGGAAGCGTATTGCATTCACTTGAGGAAAAAAAATCTACTCTGTTTTTCTGAATTAACGAGTTAATTATCTCAGAATTACGAGATAATTTTTCATGGGAAAAAAGTTTTTGCTCTGTTTTTCTGAATTAATGACTTAATTATCTCAAAATTATGAATGACTCATTAATTCATAAAAACAGTGAAAAAATGTTTTTCAAGAAAGAATTCTCTCATAATTCTGAGATATTAACTCGTTAATTCAGAAAAACAGAGCAAAAAAAAAAATTTCATGAAAAAATATCTCGTAATTCTGAGATATTAACTTGTTAATTCAGAAAAACAGAGCAACAACTTTTTTCATGAAAAAATATCTCGTAATTCTGAGATATTAACTCGTTAATTTAGAAAAACAGAGCATAAAAACATTTTCATGAAAAAATATCTCGTAATTCTGAGATAATTAACTCGTTAATTCAGAAAAACAAAGCAAAAAAAAAAAATTTATGAAAAAATATCTCGTAATTCTGAGATAACTCGTTAATTCAGAAAAACAGCAAAAACTTTTTTTTCATGAAAAAATATCTCGTAATTCTGAGATAACTCGTTAATTCAGAAAAACAGAGTAGATTTTTTTCCTCAAGTGAATGTAAGGTCATATCTTCCTAAATATAATTTTGCTGAAATTGGATTATTATGGTACTATAACTATTATAAAAATATTTAACTATGCCTTAATGTAAACCAAACATATAAATACTCATTATAGTATCAGGCTATGACCAGTATTGGGGGTAAAACATTACAAGTAACGTGAGTAAAGTTACGTAATCAGATTACTTTTTTCAAGTAACGCATTACTTTTAAGTTTACAATAAAATATCTGAGTTACTT